GTTATAGCACTATTTGTTGTTTTTGTTCTTTCATACTGAATATATTGCTTTCTTTTTGATAAATAATCTTTAAACCAAAATAAGTTAATACTTTTTACTCCATAAACTTCGAGTTTTTTTAGAAGAATGTTGTTATTTACGGTGTCAAATGCTTTAGAAAGATCAATAAAAGCTTTAGAAAGATCAATAAGAACTGCTAACGTAAAGCAAGCATTACTAAATGCATTAGATATATGAGTAATTAATTCAATTATGGCATGGTTGGATACATTTTTTTTTAAAATCCAAACTGTTTACCGTATTAAAAATTGTTTTCCGTCAACTGACTGTAAAGTCTATTATACATGACGCATTCTAGTAAGTCGGAAAAACATGGTAAAACTGATATAGGTCTATAATTATTAGCATCAAAATCATCTCCAGATTTAAAAATAGAGGTGACTCGGAAAATTTTTAGTTTTTATGGGACAATGCCTGATTTAAGTAAAAGATCGAAGATGTGATGCAATGATGGTCCAATGATATCAAATACTGAATTTACGACAAAACTACTGATATTATCAAAGCCCGCACTTTTTTTTTTTTGAAAGTGTTTAAAGCGGATCACAATTCATTAGAATCTAGATGGATTTCTTTCAAAATCTTCTCTGAGGTAAGGTTATTAATCAAGTAAGAATGAAATGTAGTAGAACTCGACGAAAGTTCTGCTGCTAGTTTGTAACCCACATTAAGAAAAAAGCTATTTAGATATTCAGCTATTATTATCTTATCACTAACTAACTTACCATCAATCGAAAGCTTTTTCGGCAGATTGCTTTTCGTAATGTAACACATGCAATGGTGTTATTGAATTATGTAAATCATTATTGGATAGCTCACATCAGTCTGTCATTCTTAGTAAGTTTTTTACTGATCAATTGGAAAAAGAATTTAGCGAACTGCGCCAAAGTTCAGGAGGTACATATTTCATAACTGTACAACAAGTGATTGAAAAGTTAAATATTTCAAGAGTTAGGCTTATACTCTCACTTGAAAATTCAGTTGCTGAGATATTAGACAATTTATCAGATCTTGAACCTATTGATATTTCTCTTAATACAAGTATATCTTTTATATATATATCGGTGTATTTAACTCGGAAAGATAAAGAACTCAGAAAATGAATAACTAGATAAAACCACTTTTTACCACCAAAAGTATGGACAACACATAGACTCAATTGACTGTGGTGGTCTTAATAATCCCACAGATAATATTTGTCAATGGGTGATATTTTCTTTTATAATTTTCAATGCAAATAAGGATAGAGAATGGAGAGCAGGCTTGTGGAGCTCGGCTTCATCTCCTTAGAAATGTCCAGCTCGTCTTTTGAATATTCCAAAGTCGTTCAAAACGTTTGAAAGACGCTTTAAAGATGTTTTTTTTATGTCCCGTGCCAATACGGTACCCAGTGGGCACGGGACTTATAAAAGACGCTATTCGAACGTTTAAAAAACGTTCAAAAGACACTCGAAATGCTTTACTGACGTTTAAAAGACGTCTTTTGTACGTCTGTACCGACAGGTACATATACCCGACGGGCATTTGTTTTTAAAAGTTACGTTCTAAATGTATTTTAAATGTCTTTTAAACGTCTTCTTAACATTCTTACGCAAAAAACGTTTAAAAGATATTTAAAATACATTTAGAACGTAACTTTTAAAAACAAATGCCCGTCGGGATAATTTTTAAGATATATAATAAATATATAATACGTGATTAATAACCTTTGGTCATTAATCACCTATCAAACATTTAACAACATAATAATTAATATTATTTCACTTTGTTTATCATTTTTTTAACACAACTTCTATTTAAGAAACTATATTAAAGTTTTTACATTTTTTGCAACAAAAAAATTTATTTCCAACTACATATTTATTTGGTAAACATGTTTCTTTACACAATCGTTCCCAACAAGTCGAATTCTTTTGCAACATTTCTGTGTGTAACTGTATTTCTACACATTACATTTTGTATCTTTTAATCGTTTGGCTGCTGGTACTCGTTCTTCAATACTGTTTTGCTGAGGTTGCTTAGTATTGTTATGCTCAGGCATTTGAGTACTTGGCATAGAGAGTCAATACTTTGCGTTAACAACTTTCGCCGCTTCCTTCGTTGCTATTATTTAATCTTTTTTTTAAGGAACACGATCACATTTTTTTCGGTAATACATTTTCCGCCAATTTTTGACATGTTATACTGCGTCGATTTTTTAACATGCGATTAATTTCTGGCTTGAAAATACTTCATTAACTCTATCTTGATATTGTTTTTGCAACGCTTAACACATGCTTGATACCTATCAAAACTTGAAGCTGGTGTAGTTGAGAAAGATGGTGATCAGTGTGTAGTTGGTACAGTCAGTGTGTAGTTGGTACGTCGCATAGTGAGTCGACTGCGTCGACTCACTATGCGACGCGAAGCGGAAAAAGGATTTTACTTACTTTTCTGAAAAAAAAAAAAAAATCAATTTTAATATTTTAAACATTTTTTAACTGAAACAAGTTAGCATTAGTTTAAAAAAAAAATTTATTTCAAATTTTTTTTAAATTGTCGTTTTAAGTACGAGATTTTTAGGGGTAAAGATACCCGGGTTTTCACTAGATCGTTATTTTAGATACAATAATTTCAAAATTTTCTCAATTTTTTTGCATATTATCAAATAAATGATACATTTTGCAAATTAAAAGCCGAAAAAAAAAAAAAAAAAAAAATGTTTGCATCATTGTTTTTGTGTGTCCCTAAAGATTGATTGATTAGACCATATTACTACAGATATAGCTAGTTTTTTATCTATTATAAATTTTCTAAATAAGATGAAAGATAAATAAATTTTTTGAAGTGAAATAATATAGGCTACCTCTGTAGTAACATTGTGTAATATCGATTCATTGAAGTGGGTTTTATTAAAAACCAGTTAGTTAATAGCAACACTAGACATTTGTTCTAGAGCGGTAAGTTATAACTTCTCAGTTAAGAGTAGTATAATGTTTTAAAATGTTTACTTTTAATCTCTGTTTGATGATTTTCCACCAAGATATATTTTTACAAGTAAAAATTTATTTTTGCAGTCCACGTTTTGATGCTACTGCAGTTTCTCTCCTTCTTCTTCTTCTTTTTAGTCGATTTATGTACATTTAAAAATCAATATTAGAATTAATTTAAAAAAAATAATAATTAAAGTTATCTAAAATACATTTATGAAAACATTTAATTCATAACATACATAATAACATTCACGCATAATAACATTTATAAATTAATTTTGATGACAATAAAAACCGGGTCGCGTAATGAAAAAAAGATTTTCATCGATTTCAAAATGTTAACTTAGATGTAAAACGTATTTAAAAAATGGCTAATTTTAGTGTAATTTTTTAAACTTCAACATCAAATTAGAGCACTTTCTGTTGATTTTCAGACCAATGTTTTTATACGATTCTTAATCAGCATAAAATTCTCTATCATAATCAACGATAAAAAAAAAAAAAGGTAGGGGGGGGGGGGAGAAACTGCAGTAGCGCCGACAATTTTGCCCCTCCATTTTAAAACCCGTGTCGCTGGCCTTGATCTATATCAAGATATGTTCAAAAAATTTTTCACAAATAATAAATTTTTGTAATAAACTGAATTACTTAAAATAACTTTATGATAAACACTTTCCGATTTTTCGACAAGGGGAACTAGCTCAAATGGTAGAGCGCTCGCTTAGCATGCGAGAGGTACGGGGATCGATGCCCCGGTTCTCCAAACAGTTTTTTAAATTTCAGAAAATATTTTATATTTTTTAAAAATTTCACAATTTAGATTTAACCAACGTAATAAACTTTTCAATTGAGATTTAATTTAAGAAAAGCTAATTCTTTTAATTTGTCAAAAGCTAGTTCTCTTCAGAGCCGATTGGCGCTGAAGATAACTAGCTTTTGAGAAACATCATTTGATTGTGCCCCTCCACTTCAAAACCTGTGTCGTCGGCCGACGACACAGGTTTCGAAGTGGAGGGGCACAATCGTCAATTTCCTCTATATCTAGGAATTTAGAAAAATAGGGAAATAAAAAAATAATAAAAAAGCCCTTTAGAAAAAAATGGGGCCCCTGGTCTTGGCTTAAGAGCCATAGGACAGGCACACTGTTTGATTGAAGGAAGTATAGCTCTTCTCGGCCAAGAAATAAAATGCGAATCAATTTGGCCTCTAACCCCTCAATGAAACCCAACTTCTACAGTTTTCGATCTTGCAGATACACCATCTAAAAAATATTTTCTATCTTGAATTTTTTTTTAAAAAAAAGGTTCTTTAGAATAAAAATGGAGAAACCGTGTAGTCGACCCTGCACAGATGGAGAAGATAAAGCAATAATACTGAAGCCATTTCCCAGCAACTGGACTTTATTTCCTGTTATAGTTATTTTTAGGTGAAACATTGAGACAACAACAACTATTGGTGTAGATATTTTTGTAACAAAACCGCATTTATGAAATAAATTTTTTTATACAAGAAAATAAATAAATATACATTTAAATAAAAAAAAAGTCCTTTTAAATTCTGTGTTAGGTATTCTAAATATGCTTGATGTTTCTATCTTTAACTTGCACAGCAAAAAAGAAAACAATTCATAAATACACTATAATAAGTTAAAAATTAAAAACTAATATATATATATATATATATATATATATATATATATATATATATATATATATATATATATATATATATATATATATATATATATATATATATATATATATATATATATATGTATATATATGTATATATATGTATATATATATATATATATATATATATATATATATATATATATATATATATATATATATATATATATATATATATATATGTATATATATATGTATATATATATATATATATATATATATATATATATATATATATATATATATATATATATATATATATATATATATATGTATATATAAACCACTATTACATTATATTAATTATAATAAATAAATTTAAAAAAATAGTTTAAAAAAAAAATTATTTTAGTTATCTAGCTGACATAATAGTGCAACACCTCGATTAACCCAATGATTTTCATCTTTATCGCTTGGTAATTTCATGTACATAACAAAATTTGTAGAGTGTCCTGTAGTTGACAAAGTTCCGCGTCTTGCACTTGTTTTATAGAGAGGGCAATTGTAGCAGGGATAAGAATTGATCTTTCTTTTTTCACTGGGAAGCAACCACATCTATCAAGTCATTAAGAAAACAAACAAGTCGAAAAGTTTAAGTTATTCCAATACTGTGTTTTATTAATTTAATGATGGTTTAAAGCACAAAAAAAGAAATCAAGTTTTCAAAGTTTGAGATCCTCAACTATAAATAAATTATTTTAGAAGATCAGTAAAATTGAAATTTTTGTTTATTTTTATTCCATTAATTAATTATTTTGAAATAATATTTATTGCCAAAGTGTCAAGAAGTAACATTTTTACATGTTTCTATTCTGCAGCCGTTTTTCAAAACGTCTTAAGGTAAAAAAAATCAATTTTGACTTTTTTACAAAAAATATAAGCTAGTTTAGATGTCTACAAACGTTATTGAATACATATTTTCAAAAAGTTCTGAAAAAATTCATAAAAATCATTAGTTTCAAAAAACATTTTACAAAGACTTTCTCCTTACAATATTTTTTTAATTGCGTTTTTCTTGAAATACCTAATAAGCATATTAATGGGTTTTGAAAAACTGCTTCACTATTGTGCTTTGAACAGTCGCTATAATAACTAATATTTAAATTGAATGAACAAATAAAAGTCGAATGAATAAATAAAACTGAATACAATTTTAAGAACTTTGATAAACTTGAAATTTATTAAAACAAAACTACATTATATGCTGTTATATACGAAAATTATATATATATATATATATATATATATATATATATATATATATATATATATATATATATATATATATATATATATATATATATATATATATATATATATATATATATATATATATATATATTATTACCAAATATTTTCTGCGAAACATACATATTTTTATTTTTTTTTAGGTCTTAACTAGCTAAAATATATTAATAAAATAAATATAATGATGAAATTTTTGTGTGCTTAATGATTGATTGCAAAAACAAAAAATACAAAAGTAAACGGATGATTGCATAAATTACTGCAATCTTATAGACAACTTGACAGATTGTATAAACACACACACACACACACAAAATAAAAATGATTATTTTTTTAATAAAAATTTTGTTTTTAAAGTTATTCAACGCTTAATAAATATGAATTTATTTAAACTGATTTGTATAAACAATTTTTGAGTATGCTATCATTTTAATTATTTTCTGAAAATATACGATAATCTAATGTAGATCACACGGGTAAACCACAGATGTAACAACTGTGGTTTGACCATGTGACATTTTTGTCATTTTGAGAAAAATAAAGTTTAAAATACAGAAAAATCAAAAATCTGTTTATTGATAATGCATTTAATTAAGAGTATATTTTTATGACATTTTAACCCTACTATTATGTTGGGGTCCAATCGGACCCCACGAGTAGTTTGTTTTTGCATTATATATTTATGTAGTTAGTATTTTTTTTTAAAACTTTATGTATTTGTTAAATATCACATGATGTACAAAGACCCAAAAAATATTTTTTGAACACTGTTTCTTTTTTTAGTTATTTATTTAGAGAAACTATGTTGGGGTCCATATGGACCCCAATATAGTTTCTCTTATAAACTTTATGGTTTTTCATAACTTATGCTTTTAAATTTTTTTTTTATTTTAGCTTAAACTTTTTTTTTGATATTTTTAGATAAATTAGATAAATTAGATTTAATAACAAATATTAGAACTTATGGCTGAAAAAAAAAAAAAAAAAAGTTTGTATTAGATACACTGCTGAACAGGCTCAGGAACTTTTGTTTGCATCGCTTGATAGAGATCCATTTAGTGGTTTATGGTACAAATAGTCAAGGGAGATGGGTTTATGGCACAAATAGTCAAGGGAGAATAAGTTATGAAAATCAAGTATTAGGAAGAGTAAATACACATATTGATATAGCTGAGGAAATAAGTCCAGGTGAAACTAATGAAATAGTAGATATTGATGTGGAAGTTTCCAATACAACAAATGTTTATAAGTGCCCAAAAAGTAATGAAATATGGCAAAAACAAAGACTAAACAATTCTAAAAAATTTGCAGCACAAAATGTCATGAAATTAAAGCCAGGACTAACACCATATGCAATACGTATGACAGATTCGATAAATGCTGCTTTTCAACTTTTTTTTACCCCAAAAATCTTCAATATAATTCTAACTAAATCAAATAAAGAAGATGAAATTATTTTTAAAGAAAAGTGGGCACCAATATCTGAGCATGAACTAAATGGGTTTCTTGGACTTTTATTTTTAGCAGGT